TTTTCATTTTCTCCAACATTGGATCCTGCTACGCCTTCCGTTGGATCGTGATGTAGATACTGAATATTTCTTTGATTCCTTGAATTTTCAGCATTCGAATGACGGTAGTTTACTCAACGGAGGTGGAAGCCGCCAATTCCTTATATTTGATTGATTCCAACAGGCAAAGTAAACAATATTTCGGTTCATCGTACACAAGTAAAAGCTACTTTCACTAGGTCCGAGTTTTAATCCTCTACTTGATCCATCATGACAAGTTCTTCGGTTTGGAGTTGGAAAACCACCGGCTTGCTGTGATTAGGATATAAATTGCTGTGAAATTTTGTAGAGCAAAACAAAAACAACAACGAGTACCGTGCTATGATTATTCGTTTCGGTGACATTAGGTCACACACACAGTCACTGTTAATGAGCAGTCTCACTAACACTTGTGCTTCAAAGTTCCACCTTTGATTGTCAGAGGCGCTGTTATCAGTGACGTTTGACATTTGAATGGGAGAAGGGAACAGTTGCCAGTCTTCTTGATTTGTAGTCTTCGCTTATCCTCTATAATGCCGGGAAAAGAGTTTCGTTATTATCGCTTCCCAATTATTATGTGTGAACCAAAACAGTCAAACAAGTATGGTGAGGGGGAGGGGTTTATATCAGTGAGTAGAAGTGGGTTTGGCTTATCAAGGCGAGGGTCTGGGTCAAGTCAAATAACTAAAGTAGGTACGTCCCTTTGGAAAAGTAATCGAGAACTGGTAAAAGTATGTTACGTCACAGATATCGATTCCTAACATAAGGAATTGATGACATTTAACAAATGGTGCTCTTCAACGATAGTATTTTTAAGATTAAATGCGTGCTAATTGCAGACAAGTTCTTCTCATACCCCTGTTCAATTTGGAGGGAACCAAATTGTGTGTACCGTAAAACGGGGTGTCTTTGATAATGCGAGTAGCTTTGATAGGATAATGTAATGATTAAATTTAATCTATGCGCTTTTTACGAATTCGAAACATTGGTATCACATTGTAGCTTAAAGTGTTTACGTTGATATCGTATATAGTTTTTAAAGAGTATGTGTTACAAATTGTACAAAACTATTAGAACACATTTTTTTATGTTTTTCGCCTATTTGAAAAAAGCACTCAAACCATCACTTACGAAATGCATCTCCGATATAGCCATCACAAATTCAATATTGTATTCTTATTCCTTATTATGTTTTCTGATTATATAGTCATTCAAAGTTTCCTATTTCAAGAACTAAATTGTTTGATCGAAATAGGAAATACTGACGTTCGGTCACAAAACTAGAAAAAAATATTACAAATGCAATAATTTTCGTTAAACATATCCCTCCCCTTGGCTAGTTTTTTAACCTGGACGTTGGTGGGCGGGCCTAATCTTATGCTTCATAGTGGAGCGTTGGAGACGGTTGGTTTAGGTCCGGCGTCGTTGGCTTATGCCGTGACAGAATAGCGTCATGAGCATGCGATGAGGATTACTGAGCTTCCCCTCTCTGATGAACCATTGTATAAGAGAACCAAAGTTCTAGCCTGAAGTGATAGTATCACACTTGTTACTCCTTTATTTGAAAGCCGCGTTGTAGTACGCTTACGTATAGGCACTGATGTTGGGTGCGATACTGGCGGGTTTTGCCGCAAATCACTCTTATTTTATTTATTTTTACGCAGATAAATTTATTTGGGTTTGCAAGGGAATTATACTATTAAAATATTTCAGAAAGTGCCCAACAGTGCTCCCTCTACTTGCGTGACAAGCTTTCGTTGTTGTTTTCATTGAGGTATTACTCAGGGAACAATGTTAAACACCATTTTTGTACATGGTATTGCAACAAATTTTATATGTGCTTCATTTTGATTTGGGATAAGTGTTTGAACTATGGCTCGGGATTTCCACTGTGGCGTACTTCTATTGTGACATAGCCATACGTATTTTTGTGGTGCGACATAGTGGAAACGTGTGAGCGTAGTTGAAGCATATACCCTATGTAATTTAAAAATCAGCTAGGAAACTAACTTCAAAGTGAAGCATGTTAGTAACTTGAAGGTGTCACCTGGGACGAACTAATATATATTAAATATAGGTCAAAGTCAGAAACAACTTGAAACACGTTAAATTTTAGATTACATTCACAAGTTCAGGTACTTAATAAAGCATGGTAGGTAGATTAGAGATTTCAATTATTTATTAAATTATTTAGACTAGAGATATCATAATCATCAAACGAACTTAAATAAGAAAATTTAGACAGCCTAGTAGCATTAAGTGGATTAACAGAAGAGTTAGGATGCGGAGGGTCCGCTTAGGGAGGCAACTGGCAACTAGACTCTTCATGTATTGTCTGTTTATTTTAATTATTGCTTTAAAATATCAATTTGGTATTTATGTGAAAGGATGAATCAGTGGGAGATGGATTTTTGGTTTCTTTACATCTAGCATCACTATGTGCCATTTCCTCAAAACCCCCCAATAACCGGCCTCTTCAATCCCTTCCTTTTCCCATGGCGAAAAGATGATTGAGAGATAAAAATCAGAAAAGAGGCCATTTTAGCTAAAATTCACAAGACAACAGAGCCAATACAAGTCAATTAGATTGACAGAACATAGTTGCATTGCTTTTCAATGACGACCGATGACTGTTTCATTGATATATGATTTTTCCATAACTATGAATCCTCAGTAGACGTGTTTTTTTATCAAAGGCAAGTGTCACTCGAGCCATTCAACATATTCGTTATTTTTATAAATTGCTGTTATGGTTCGAGTGACACTTGCCTTTGATAAAAAAAACACGTCTACTGAGGATTCATAGTTATGGAAAAATCATATATCAATGAAACAGTCATCGGTCGTTATTGAAAAGCAATGCAACTATGTTCTGTCAATCTAATTGACTTTTATTGGTTCCGTTGTCTTGTGAATTTTAGCTAAAACGGCCTCTTTTCTGATTTTTATCTCTCAATCTATGAAATAAACACTAAAACTATGTTGGAATGAAATTTCTAGAACAATATGAGGAACATTATGCCGTACACTACACATTTTTATATCATACGGGTGGAAAATTCGTAGAACAAATACTTTAAAATTCTTCACTTTTTAAGATATCTTCGAGCATGAAACTAAGTCAAACTTCAATAAAATAACTTCTAATAGTCAACCTTTGGTCACAAAGTTGGTAGATAACACATTAAGCTTTGCTATGAAAGTTGTTACAGCAGCTTTCGTTGTTTCAGTCTCGAGATACAAATATTATAAGCCGTAAATTACATTGAAAACATAAAATTAACTAGAAGCACCTCTAAATCAACACCGATTTTGCTGAAAATTTGCACAAAAGTTCAAATTAACATGACGAACAGTAATCACGGTTGACCCGTTACATTCCGAACATTTCGTTTAAAATGAACAGGTCTACTATTCAGCCATTACCCGTCCTTTATCTTCGGCTTTGGATTGACTTGCGCTCCCATTGCCCCACCAAACGCTGCAAAATGAAAATGAAAATGAAATAATTTTCGTTAAACATATCACTATAGAACGGCGCCGGTGGTGTAGTGGTAAGCGTGATTACCTCTCACCCCAGCAGGCCTGGGTTCAATACCAGTCGGCGCCGCCGGGATGTTCTGAGGCATAACATCTCTGATCACGCCTTCCTTCGGATGGGAAGTAAAGCCGTTGGTCCCCGGTTCATGAGTTGATGGGTCGATAGGTAGGGTCCAGGTGTGGGAGCTGCCTTCCTGGCACGTCGGTAGCATTGGTGCTCAGCACGGAAAACTAGATCGACGGAAAAAACAAACCAAAGGAAAAAAAAAAAAAAAAATATCACTATAGAATTGAGTCTATGATACTCAGTACTTGTTTTAAAATAATAAAATTTGAAAAACATTCATCACTGTAAACAATATTTAGAATATACAAAAAAAAAATACCATTAATGATACCCCATACCGTAACATGCTTTTACACATTTCTGTATCACAATTATGGGCGCTCTTGAAAAGGGGTCCATGGATTTTAGGTGGACGAAGCGCGCATATCTAAAAAATCAGTGAGCAACAATCAGCTCTAAATTTACCATGAGAGCACTGGAAACAACGACTTGCAGAGTTCATTAAGTGTCATGCCGCAATTCCATTAACATGGAACTAATTTCAGTCTAAATGTCTCGGAAGATTGTGTACACACTGCACAGCACACTGGAAAACTTCTAATGACTTTACATAGCCACCGTGTAATTAAGAACTCTTGTGCAAATAGGCTATAAAATTCTTCAAATACCCTTCCGTACTAACACACACACACACCCTCACTCTTCAACACCATAAGCACACTACTCCCATATTGCTATTATCTTTCCATTTCATGCTCCCGAGGAATCGCTATCCTCCCGCAGTCCATTTCCTCCTTCCATTTTCCTGCGGGAGCCAGCGTCACTAATTAAATTAATGTTATGGCAGCACACTCTCGGCGTGTGCAAGTCAAACGAACCCCAAGAAAAGCGACTACCATCACCCCCATGCACCCTCATCTAAAGTGAGAGAGAGAGGAGGAAGAAAATTTAATACCGATGATTCTTTTACTACACAGTCCAACCCGGGCAGAGGGATTTTAATTTTCAAAACTCTTCCCCGTTCCAGTTCACCACCGATTCCACCCACACAAACCTAAGCCAAACCCAGAACCAACGCAGATCGTGTCCATTTGTAGCCTTCGGTTATGGTCATTGTGTCTTTCCTTTCCCCTCCGGTCCATTCCCCATTCGACAATCATCCAACAAAGTCAAGAGGATGATGACGATTCCTGGGTGGGTTTGAATCGAGTCCGGAATCCGGAAGATAGGAAACGATTGTGGGTTGAGCCGGGGCGAGTGGGTGGTGCGGGACTGCAGTAAATTTACGATTTATATTAACAGTTGTAGCAGCTTCAATTCCAATGGCACTGACTTTGTTCCTTTCGTTTGTTCTTCTGGTTCTTTTTTTTTGCAGAATGTGCGCCATGCTCCTGTCGGAAGTGTCCAGCTTTGCAGCGGCGATGCTGTTCGCGGTGCATCCCATCCACACCGAAGCGGTAAGTGTCAGTGTTTTCCTTGCTGGTTGTTATCTTCATCGAACGGAATTGTGGACTTGGTGCGGGGGCGGTGGGTGGGAGATAGAGGGCAAAGTAATTGCTACCTGGTTAATGCCAATGCAAAACTGAAAGAAAGAGCTTCGGTTAGCAGGAGGATGATGTCTTTGTGTCCGATGGGAGGGATTGAGATTGAAAGCTGGAATTGAGGATTGCTTCCTGGATGATTTAATTAAAAAAAAAACGGGGGTTCACAGTAGTTACAAGTTTCACTGGAAGTTGGTAGACAAGGATCTCATTAGCAAGTAGCAAGAATGATTTTACGTGAGACGTGCTTCTCGAGATGGAGATGGTGCTACTAATTTTGATAAGTTCTGTATTTGGTAACATTTGAGTGGAGTTGAAAATGTTGCAATGAGTCCAGTAATATTCGAGGACCCAGGAAAAGGATGCTTTGTAAGATGACTAGAAGGCCAGGTGCAGAAATCTTTGTGGTTTATTTCAGAAGAAATTATCTGGAATAGAAAATGTATGGTTAACGGAAAGATCCTATTTATTTGCTTACAAAAAATCCAAACATTGCTCAAATTTTACCAGGACTTGGACTTATATTGAGAATACTATACCAAACAACTTTGTCGAAGCTGCAACCCACCCTAATTTACATACTTGGAAAAAAATGGTCAAGAAATCAGCAAAACATAACAAAAAATTGAGGCACTTTATTAATAAAAAGTCATTAGGCATCCCCTGCAATCCCCCTATGAATTGTATATATAACAGTAGGATATAAGTTGCTCAACAAAATAACGTTGGGATAAGCTGCTTATACCTGCTAACCTGCATGATACACCCCTTCAAAAATAGTGTTGAAAAATATAAAAACGGATGTTAATCCTTTAAATGAAGAGATAACGATTTGATTTTTTCAGCAAAAAATGTGTATTTTTAGAGCACTTCCAACTTTGTAAAACATTAAAAAAATGTAAAATTCAAACAAAAAAGTAATGTTAAAAACACGGTTAAATGGATACTACCGTTTGTACTCCATTTTCACACTATAACTTTATCCACTTAAGAGATAGAAAATTGTTGTCTTGGACAAAGCTTCTTAAAATGACCTCATCTACAATGTATCCATAGATGTTCATCATTTTTAACAAGACATAAAAAAGTTTTTTTTATCTGAGTGTATACCCCCCTTAAGCAAGGGTACTCAAAAAATGAAGAAACATGCTATAAGACATCAAAATGCAACTCTCTATAGTTTCGTCGCAAATGGCCCTGTCCCATTTTATTTTATTTCGTCCCACTGTGCGTTGGTTCCGTTCCATGTATTACAATCATTTAGTCATTCTGATATAGAAATTACACAGGAGATGAGAATCCATGATAAAAGGATTTGTTCGCGCCCGTCGCGGGAAATATTTCGGACACACGAGAAAAGTACGTTTTGACACTACAAAAATACACTTTATTCCCGGACGAAATTACTGAGGAGATGTTTCATCCTTCTTGTTTGAGTTCCAGTTTCGAAGCGTGAAACCCGCTGAATCCAGCAGCTCGATGACTTCTTGAACCAAATGTTTACCTTCTTCTACGGTGTCTACTCCTGAGAGCGTGTCGTCAACATAGAAGTCCTTCTTGACCACCTTGGACGCTACAGGATTCGTTAGCGCTCCGTTATTTGCTAAACGCTGCAGGCATTTGGTAGCAAAATATGGTGCAGATGAAGTACCGTACGTGACAGTGGTCAATTCGTACGTGCGGTAGACGTTTGACAGGAACCGTCGAATACTACGCGCAGCTTCGTAGTCTGGCTTAAGAACAGCGTGGTGTTGTAGGTAGTACCTTTTTACTCCTACTTCTTCGATCTTTTCGGTGACCTCCTTCATGTGTCCAAGCAAAATGAATTCATCGTACATCGTCTTGAGCTCTGGATTTGCAGCGAAACGGCGTTCGATGCCCATCAACCGTTTTATCGCTGTGATCTCCGAATGACCTAACCGATTATTTACGGATTCCTTCTTCGGCATCATCACAAAATCTGCCAGTCTCGTTTCTGCTGCTAAGATTTCGGCATGTCTCTAGGTCCCAGAACCATGCGAGTTGATCCTGGAGCTCGGTGGTACAACACACGAGAGTCAGAGAATCAAATCCACTGTGTGTATGCTCGGGAACCTTGCCGGAAACTATCCAGCCGAAATTTGTGTTCTGCAGTGTGGGTCCGTCTTCAGTCGCCTTTTGCTGTTCGCTCCTCCTGATGATGACGTCTACTAGGACCAGGTTCATAGAAGCGTGGATCAGCTAAAGATGACGATTCCGGAAGCGTCCAGCCGCTGATATCGCAGGTTGCAGTCGATAGCGACACAGTCAACCGTGGGAGGACGTGGAACTGCATCTCTTGCAAGAACGATGAAATGCGATCCAACCTCGGCCTTACTACAGCACTGATGAGTTTTGTTGAAGTGCTCGTAGATGAGCCAATCCCTTGGACAGACAGATACGACGGCGATCCGTGGAGCTGAAGTTTGCTTTAAAACTCTTTCGTCATCAGGCAATGCTGGGAACACGAATCCAGCAGGGCTCGTGCCAGCATGGAATTGCCGTGACGGTCCTTAACTTTGACTAGAGCGGTTGATAACAGGATGTTCTGTGTAGGTGTGATTGGGAGTGCGATGTTTGTCTGTGTTCGTGGCTGTTGATTGAGTGCTTTGTCCTTGCAATGTGGTGGATGTATTGGTACTAGCGTTGTGTGTTTGTTGTTTCGAGTTTGTTTGTTTGGATTGTGGCTGCTGTCTGGTTTGTGTTGGAAAAATTGACTGAGCCTGTGGAACGGAGGATCTAGCTGATGCACCATGCAGCAGGGAGTGGTGCTTCTGTTGGCAGTGACGACAGACACCCTTCTCGCAGTTTCGTGCAATGTGGTCAGGACTCAAACAATTCAGGCACAACCTTGCTTTGAACGCAGCTTCACTGCGCTCGGGAACTTGAAGACGTTGGAATTTGCCGCAGACAAAGGCAGAATGCCACGATCCACTGCAGAATGGGCATGGATGCTTGAAGATCTCACGGTGGTGTGACACACGGATGACTTCGACGACCGTTGATCAGACTGGCTCAGCTTCGTTGGGGCGACGGATTGCAGCACTGCACAATTGTGGTTGTGGTGTGTTTCCCACTGCCGTAGAGTGGCAGGATCCAGTCGGGAATACACCATGTATGCGAGAATCGTACTTCATGCAGTAGTTTCTTCGCCGATCTCCTTCAACATTTGTAAGTTCTTCTCGTAAACGCTGATGAGATTGCTCGGTCCGTCGTAACTTTCTCGCTTCAAGCCTGCCACGGCAAAAAGGGAATCCAGATGTGCCTTCACAATCAGCTTCTTGTTTTCGTAGCGGGACTCAAGCGCCTTCCACGCTACGATGTAATTCACTCCACCGACTCGATCTCCTGCAGGGTCTCTCATGACAGGGCTGACTTCAGATAGCTGAACCTGCCCATATAGGTTAGCTGCTTGTTTTCGTGGATTAGGCTGCGGAAACTATCCCGGAACGTAACCCACTCCTTAATCCTCCCACCGAACGACAGAAGGCGAATTTCTGGAAATTTCACCTTCGAGAATGATGCTTCGCATCGGTCACCAAGTTGACCATTTCAGGATCAAAGGTCCCAAATTTCATGGTGGATTTCAATAGATGGCTGGATGATATGAAACTACCACTCACTGTAGCAAGACAATTATCGGTAGACTGTGGACTATCCTCGCTGTTCGACTTGATCAAGTTTAATAACCTCTAATTGAGCTCAACCTGCCATTGTATGAAGGGCCAAAAACGGTTCGGGTGAATCCGTGGGCAACGTCGACCACGTGCATCCACGGGATAAATGAGAATCTCCTTCTAACAACAGGAGGATGCCCCAATGAGTAGGGAGAAGAGCCCGCCCTCTTTTCACGAAATGTTAACGACAGGGAATTGGTATTTCAACTCTCCCCATCCATTTCGCTTCAATCTGGTGCCCAGTTGGACCCTCCCGTACCCAGCATTTTTTTAAATCCTTGTCGGGTGTTTTCATCACAGCGACCATTTTTCTGATCTATTGTGATATACTCCCTCCCCCCTTTTTTTTGTTTTGCTATATCAAGATGCCGTATCACTATTTTTAGGAGTGATCGCCATTGTTTGACTAATAGCATTATCCCAGCAAGGCATTACACTTCAAATACAGCGCACTTCCTTCGCGTAAATGGCACAATAGTAGTTTTAGAAGGATTTATGTTCAATCACACATAATCATGAGACAAAATTTAAGGCAATTTGCATTCTGTTAGCGATAATACAATCATATTTGCCACGTACAATTATGACGATATCATTTGCGAAGTTAACTATTTCGAAGCCTTGGGCTATTAAATTTTTGAGAAGATCATCAACTATTAAATACCACAATAGAGATGATAACACGCTTCCTTGCGGGCATCCTTTGGTTGCTCTTATACTGATGAGTGAGCTTCCAAGGTTTGCTGATATTTCTCTTGTTGATAACATCTCATCTAATTTACAATGTTTTGATCGAAACCACGTTTAACATAGCTGTAGTCATTGAATCGTGAGATGAATTATCGAATGCACCTTAAATGTCAAGGAATGCAGCAAGTGAAATTTCTTTAGCTTCAAAAGATCTTTCTGGTTTTGTTACAACCGTATGGAGTGCTGTTACTGATTACTTACCTTCCTGGTATGCAAACTAATTTTTGCTCAGAGGATTTCCAACTAGATATGATGACTTAATGTGTTCATCTATTGCTTTTTTTCCATTATTTTTAGCATAATAGACGATAACCTTATTTGCCTGAAGGATCTTGGTGAAGTTTTATCCTTTTTATCAGCCTTGGGGATAAACATAACCCGCACTTGTCGCCACACTGCCGGTACATAGCTTAATATTAAGCTTGCTTGAAATAGCTTTGTTAGAATAGGCGTTAAAACCGCTTTACCCTT